GCGCTGTTAACTTCCCTCCACTTGCGGAGACGAAAATAGTTAATAGACGTCAATCCACGTCATTTTAAGAGGTTAAAGGAGCGACTGTGAGAACGACAGCCGACATAATAAATCTTGAGAAACATGCACAAACAGATTTTGACGAGACTTAATTGGTATCAAATGATTACATATTTCATAAAGTTTCACTACATGGCATGATTTTGTAAGTAATACGCATATTTATTGCTAAACTGCAATCATGTACCTTTGCAGTTCCTAAAGATTGCTTGGGAAAGAATGCTTTAGCATCAAGTCCACATTTTGTACCATATTTTATTGATCAATAAAGTAAATAAAGAAAATTAATAAAATCTTCACTCGTATTTAATATTATTAGTTTCAATTAAGCTGGAGTGTTGTTATTGTCAGGCCTAAGAGAATCACTTGTGAACTCTAAATTTTTACAACTACGCCTAAATGCATGTTTTAGAAACATTATTTACGACATAGTATGAAATACTTAATAGAACTGGTTTAGTATAATTAAAATGTTAAATATGAACCAAGCGTAAAATAAAACAGAAATTTTAAACCTTGAAAATATACAGAATTTAGCTCCAAACTTAAGAATTTAGTATAATACGAAATAATCCCTATTTCGTATTATTATAGAAGCACTTATTATTTTATTTATAAATGATATGAATAACAAAAAAAAACGGTATTTATATAAGTTGCCATTAGGCAATTTCTTTGGGTAATAATTGGGTATTAACCCATAGCACAAGCTCTGTCAAGGAACTGATGTCACTGTGTGAATTGCCTAGGGTTATTATTATTAACAAAATGAAGAAAAATCCATTAATGAGTATGTATTGTACCTAGTATATTTATGACTTTGAAATAATATTGATCCCGTGTGGAAAGGTAAATAAAGAAATGATTATAAACCGTAAAACGGTCGGAACATCAGATCAAATGTTCCCAATAAATAAATGAGAACCATCAATTCACTCTGAAATTAGAATCTTTGAAGTCACGATTAGCTAAATTGTGATACAGTTCTAAAATCGTGCATCTGAACTGAAAAATCACCGCAAGACTTTCTATCTTTTAAACAAGACACCCGGACGGAGATGTTAGGACCGTGATTAATACAACGCAATGATTTATAAAGTGGGTTCAAATTATAAACACGACTTAGTCGAAAGCTTCGGACAAATCCAAATAAATTGGTTTCATTTCTCATTGTTCTTTTATCGATAGAATCGTCAGTCTGTTTAGCATATTAAATTTTAAGTATAATGTCAGTTTGTTGATCTATACTAATATTATAAAGATTTGATTGTGTTCGTTTGCATTGAATAGGCTCCGAAACTTCTGGACTGATTTCAAAAATTGTATCATCAATAGAATCCTACATTAGCCCTAATAAAAATTGAGCATTGAATATTTTCAAATACGTTAGGGATTTGTATGGAAACTTCGATAGTGTAACCCAACGTGTGAAAAATTAACAATAGAACAAATATATGTACTACAGTTTTATAAAGGACATCAATAAAAAAGGGCTGTTAAAATTTATAATTTTATTAGACCTCAGACTTTTTTTTGTTTCAGACTTTTTGATGCAGTTAGTGTACTGATAATTTTTTTTTTAATAAATTCGGGCTGAAATTTATAGTCGCTAATGTAGTTTTTCGTGAGTAAAGGATTATTTTAAAAGAGGTTAAGTTTTTTTAGATTATCTAATAGAAGCACTAATATCATTCATCTTTGTAATATTCGTAATAAAAATTCGTCACTAACTACAACTTCTCATAAAGCGAGTCTAACTTCTTTATGAAACAGCTGAGAGGAAATAATAATTATAATAATAACCCTAGACAACTCACACAGCGCCATCTAGTCCCAAACTAAGCAAACTTTGTGCTCTAAGTATCAAAATGCGTTTTTTTTTTTGCAAATTCATATATAATATATATATAGAAAACACCCAGACCAATACAAACAGTCATATTCCAAATAAAATATTTGTACCGTGCCTGGAATCGAACTCGCGTAAACAAGGCTATGTACTGACCGCTAGACCACCGAGACCGTTAGAATAATTGGTTCAGAAATAAGAAGTTAACACTACCTTGTTTAACAAATAGCAGTTAATTACAAATTAGTGGAATGTTAAATGAAAAAGACTATTGTTTGTAAATTTTGTTTTATACTACGATGGTGAACAAGCAGACGACCCATCTGATGGTAAATGGTTACCGTAGCCTGTGGACCCTTGAGACACCAGGGGGGTCACGTGCGCGTTGCCGACCCTTAAGAAATCCTTCTTGAAAACCCATGTAATATTGTTAGAAATCGATTAGCGTATTAAATTTATTTTATTTATTTAAAAAAAATTAAAGACTAACAAACCTCTCAGACTAATCTCGGAATAGCCAAAAGACAAACTAAAACATCGCCTTACCCCGAAACGCTTAAGCAGACATTTAACTGTTTAGTTTAAAATAAAAATAGAACCGCTCTGTATGGCACTGGAAGGAGAAGGTAACCGACCCAACATAATAGGTGCCAGACGTAAAATAAGTTTATTTTTAAGTCTTTTGTTTAGAAAACAATGCATTAGGACTTGTCAGATGTGTTACGATGTTCGAATGATATAAAACCTCTTTCATTACAAATATTTTAGCTTCATTGATTTATGGTATCAATGTTAACGACTAGTTTTTTTTTAATATCGTCAGCACTGGAATCATTATAGTGGCTAATAATTTTGTGATCAATATTAACATGTAGTTCTTTTTTTAAATTGATAGCACTGGAATCATTACTAAACAGTTTTGTAGTTGAATTGTTACTACTTTTTTTTAATTTCTATATTTATGTGATTTAATAATAATGAATAAATTTGTTAACAATCATTACTTTAATGCGTTTTGGCGAGGATAAACCAGATATTATTAGCATTATTACCTGCCTGTCCACCATTTTGTTAAGCCTAGTTAGTGAAGTTCAATGAACGCTGTGATTTACATCTGTTACGAATGCGTTGATTGCCTGATGAAATTGACAAAACCGTTTTATATTTTATTTATTTTCTAGCAGATTTTTTGTAGCATTATCATATTCATAATGCAGTTCATTAAAAAGTATTATAAAGATATTAGAGAGTTTAAACCGTTACTATACCGTTTTTTAAACGTTTTTAAAAGATTTAGTGTTGCTGTCGTGTAAAATTTTGTTATTTTTATAATAGCAATTAAATTTATCTGTATTGTAGTCAGTATTTTCGTTGTATAACAAAACTACTTTATTGTTTCTATAATTAAAGCTCATAACAACAGTTGTTTGAACATTTCGTAATGAATAGAATACGAGTTTGATTAAATTTATGTTTGTTTAAATATTTTATTTTTTTAATTTATTCACAATGACAATTATCTTGATTTGCTCGTGGGTGGAGTTATTTTTTTATAATATAGTCTTTAAATTTGTTTCCTAATATCATATCAATAAAAATACATGAAATAATCTAACTTTTTTTTCAAATATGTATAAAATAGCTTGAAGTAAAAAAAATAAGACTTTCTTTACTTATGATGAGTACATTATGAATCATTAGAATTGGTATGGTCAATTTTAGAGTAATTCTGTTTTGTTTCGACAAATGTATTAATTTTGCCGAATAATTAATAATGAATTTATTAATCCACAATCATATGTAGGTCTTAAATCATTTTCACAAATAATTTGTGATTCTATGAGACTGGGAACAGAACTAGGCACGAAGCCTGTATCTCAGTAGACCAGAACTCACCCCTCGGTTGTATGGTTCTACAAAGGTTTAAATTTACATGTTAATTCATTATTTATTTTAATATTATGTAGCCTTGGACAAATTTTCGCTTATCCGTGTGGTAATTAAGTAAATAAATTTACTTAATTAAATTTGTCGTATTACTTATATTTTTTTAAAAACCTAAATAGTATTTGCAATTCAATCGTTTAATCTTAGGCTACCTAAAATATACTGTTACTAAATGCATATGTCTAACTGAAAACCGGTCGTCTATTTTAACTACATTATCTATTTGACTATTTTGTAATGTATGAAATGATCTCACACAATAAAAAGATGGCACGTGTAGTGCAGTTGGATTTGCTAAACAAATATCCTATGTTGACTGACAAGAATACTAAATAATAGAGAAACTGTTCTATAATTAGTATAAAACAGATTTTCATGTGTTTCCCATATTTTACAGTATACAATTAAAATTAGAATAATCATGAATATTATATCAAAAAATTTTAATATATTCTAAAAAATTGTTGATAATATTGTTTGTGTGTTAAATTCACACATTTCAGTCAACATATGTGAAAATATGAAATACGATTTCAATAATAAATTTACTGAAAATATATTTCCAAATCATGACATAGGTTTAGCTTCGTTGCAATTCCTAAGAACATGGTACGTTCATAAGACTTCCGACGTGTTGGCATATTTTCCTTATAATTTTCAATGTGAAAATTAACAAAAAAAAGCTGAAATGCAGAATCAGTCAAGTGAAATAATAAGTGAAGATTAAAATGCATTACGTTTTTTTTATAATACATAAAGTTTCATATCACATAGGTATAAGCATATTAGAGAAAAATTACATCACTAAATAAAACCAAAAATCACAGTTTTCCTGGACAAATTGTTTGCCCTACGTTTTTTTATACAGATACGTAAATAAATTCTAATTATACATAAAAATGTAGGGAAAAAGTAAAAAAAGAAATGTCTTTTGAACTAAAATTAAAAGCTACCTATTTTTCGTTTTTAAAGATTTTTCCCTATATCTGTATTCGATTCATGGAGAATCCTAAACCTTAATGAAATATTCGTGTTATTGAAAATATAAAAATTATTTAATCCCTAGTGGTTTAAGAAATCTATATTACCATATACATGTTAACATTCTTTATATATATATATATATATATATAACTGACTCAATAACTACATTTCTCGCAGTAGCCCTGCTATGAAAATGAACTTGTATAATATATTAGTTCAGTTAATTAGTAGGCCTGATCTAGTACAGTAGTCAAAATTAGGCTTTCCACTTGTCCCTTACATACTAAATTTTGTTGGAACTTGTGATGGAACATGTATTTTGCACGACGCGACCCAGCGTTTCGGCACCAATCGTCAGACTCAGACCCGATCTTGAAATCTACCTTATTTACGTACTTACAAGTCCATTCATAATCCAAACAGTGCACAATCCTTGGGGCACTTTGCCACTACACTAATACACAGTTTAGCACAGTTTTAGCTCACGCACTTCACGTGTAGACCAGGGTGTCTGCGCGGAGGTGCATCGACTGTAAAGTCTGCGTGGTGTGAGCTGGACACGGCTTAGCAAGCAGGTCGGGACGCTGCGGTCTCGCTGCCCGGGCGCACATTCACCGAGCCAGCGGCGCCAGCACCGCCAGAGCTGCCAGGGCGAGCGCCAGCGACGACGCCAACGCCGCTCCCCTCGAGTACGACAACTCCTCGCTCTTCACCACCTCGTTCTGAGCCTTGTCGTATTTGTGCGTCTTTTTCGTCACTGGCTTTATTGTTGTTGTCGTTGTGGTGGTCGTCGTGGTGCTAGGAGGTGGCGGCGGCGGCGGAGGATACGTCGGCTGAGGCGGCGGCGCCGGGGACTGCTCCTCAGGCTTGCAGCACACTCGGAACACCAGCTTCATGTTGTCGGTGAGACAACGGCCCCCGATACGCCTGTGCAAGTCGTCCTTGCTAGACGTAGATATGAAATAATAATCTTTGCCAGGCAGGAACTCCAGCCCGCCCGGCTGAGGCGTGAACGGTCGGAAGGTTATAGTGAAAAACATGAGTTTGTGCGGCTTATCACAAATAGCTATAATCCTTGGGTTAGGATTCGTTATTCTACACGTATCGTATTCTTCTTTACTAACGTTGTATATTATATATTTCTCTGTGTCCTCTTCAAAAGTCCCCGGTGTGTACACTGGACATATAATATTCACTTGGTCGTATTCGAACTGTGCATTCCCTTTATTGAGATCGAATACGTGATCTGTATTGTCTATCCGAAATATACTATTAGTTGTGTTCCAATGTATATAGAAGGACTTTGCGTAGTTGCCCATCACGGTTTCGATGATGAACATCAACACTAAGAAGGTCCAAGGCGTCTGCCGGAGGCCGAAGTAAGCGAGGGACACCATTCTGGCTCTTTTATTCAACTTGCATTATCCGATCGAAGACGCGGTAACACCTCGATACAAAAGGCGTAACTATGCTTTGTCGTGTCTCCTATACGCGCACCACTCCATATTTACATTGACAAACGTTATTTTCTATAGGAAACCATTGTTAAACCTGCACAATTCACACATAAAACTCGAGTAATCCGTTCAATTTCGACACTGCATCACTGTGTCCACCATGTTCGTCGACAAGATTTTGTTCGTCGATAAATGTGGAATTCCTACGTGGCCCGCCGTGAAACGCGTCTAAACGATCATTTGTTACGTTAACACACTCGTTTATGATACACTATTGTATGGTACAACACATTTCCATTCGTTATTAGTTGGAATTAATCAATACATCACAGATTTTTTGCAATACTAAGGTGTTCTTTGTATTGGAAGAGACGCGGCGACGGGTCTTGTCGTAAACGCGGCGCGGCTGGCCACCGAACTATTGGAATGCGAGCGGGACCCGCTACGCATGCGGCGAAGCCCCCCTCGCGTCTCGCCACACCTCGTCCCCCTTACGGCTGCGTTCAAGCTCGCCGCGAGCTTTCCTTTACGCCACCATTTTGAGAGACTAAGCCGGCCATTTATTATTAAATTTAATTTAATTCTCTATGGCTTATAAATAATTTATCTATAGGTGTTTCATAAAAATTAGAACTATATATTTTATGTGTTTAATATTTAAGTAGAAGATTAAAATTAAATTGTGTAGACATTGATTTAATTTAAGACTACGAGAACGCATCGTATTCGCCATTGAAAAATGTGCAACGCTCCCAAACAAGCTCCTAGGGTTACCACCAGCCCTTCCAGTTCGATTCAGTACCCAGTGTCGATTTTTTGTTGACTTCATACGTTCAGATGCAAATTTTTATGTTTTCATAACTGGCCACTTCTTTGTGATTTATAGTCTCTGGCTACTTTTAATTTCTATTAAAAATAATATTGTGTAGAGGAAAGACTTGATTTTTGTTTTTATTGGGATTTGTTTGTTTATAATTCTTTGTTTTATAGAGGTAGCCTTTGTAAAATCTTCTGCATGGGTCTATTTCAGCCGCCAAGTTGCTTAATTTGTAAGCAGTGTTGCTTATGAAGGGTGAGAATATGACGTAGTGAAATTACAGGATAGAACATTTCGGAATGGCAACGAATGAGTGGTTTACGGGCGTCACATGATAATGTGATAAGCGTACAACGGTTACTATTTACTATCAGATGGATCATCATTTTTTTTTCCATTCCAATTACAATAAAAAATTCTAAATGTACTCTAAATTTTATTTTTTTTTACATTATCGTATCTAGTACAACAATATATTAACTCAAAGGTATAAGTTTTCTAAAATTAGACTTTAATAATAAAACATTCAAGTGGATTTTTCAAAGTTTTTAATTTTTGAGTTAATCCAGCGTTGTACTGGATGCGCGGTTTAAAAGGTACATTATATGTAGTAATAGTATCAGAATAGTATGAACTGTAGAGCATATGTGTCGCGAAATATTGTATTAAATAGTACGATTTTACACTATTATCCATGTTTATTCAATACATGAACCACCCATATCATTATCATAGATTAATGTACCTATCAGAAGCTTATCAGGTACCTACTTCATGAATGGTCACTCTGTACGTGGATTGGTTGTCACAGAGATTATCTTTATCATGAGTGGAGAGGGGATTGATAGCTATGGGGACAGGGGCCCCATTGCTAGCTATATATAATATGTTAGGTCCTCTCCGATCGATCCCCCGTCCAATTCATACAGGGATTGAAATTACGACAACCTAAGCCTAGGTTCGACCCCTAGCGGTGACTCCCACTAAAGTCAACTGCTTGACGAATTGCGTCAAGCACCATCTGCACTCGGCTCCAATCTTTCGGTGAAGCTGTAAAGACCAGCTGAGACCGTTTTACTTTGGAAAGTAACAAAGTTAATGCGTATATAATGACTTCATACTCATATCATCCTCCACTGGTGACCGCCCAGAATATACCGGTAGAGGTATGGTGTATGTAAATATACCATATTCATCCACAAAAAATATCAATAATACAATTATACCAAAATTGTATGACTTTGTATTATATTCAATTCATTATATAGATTTTTTACGCATATTTTTTTATCATCTCTATACGTAGACTAGTTATTCAATACTATCTGTCAGATATTTTACTTTAAAAAATTACTTATACAGTATGATAACATTTATTTATAAACTATACTTTCAAAAACTTTACCTCTCACTAAATATTTATTTTAATTTTAGAACATCTCTACCTCCATTGGCGTACTGGCAACTTGTAGTAATATTTACGTATAAGTCATATTTTTACAATTTTAATTTTAGAACGGACTTCCATCGTTATGATAATGCATATATTTAAAAAAAATATATTATATCTTTTTCATATTAAAACTTTCTACCTACCTATCTTAGATATACTGGCAGCTTGTAATAATATTTATATTTATAGATTTTTATAATTTCAATTCTAGAACGGAACATATTGCTATCTCATTCATATAGGTTGGTTGGTCCTCAGAGTCGTAACCTGTGGTAATAACGTAACTTTGTAACACATAGCGCCATCTGTGGACTGATATGCGCATTATTTATTTACCATACGTTTTGAAGATGATCACTCCAATCCGCCAACTTATGTATTACAATAAATATATAAGTATCATCCTTGAGCGGGAGGAAAGGATAAAATATTTAAGAACCCCACAAAAAATGCAAATACAGTTAGTTTATATAACATAGAGAAGTTAGAGATACTATTATGTCCCAAATTTTCTCAAAGCCCCGTTGTTACTCGCAGAGAGAGTTCCTAGAGAAAGAACCGTTGCAAAGAGGTTCGCCCCAAGGTCTCATCTTTATTATTAAATATAATATATTTATGTATTTCGATACACATAATGCTGTCTTATAAATTTTATAAACATTTTGATGTGTCGTAGCCCTCACAGTATTTTACTACTCTGAAACGTCGAAGAGGTCGTGGGTTCAAATATAGCTAAAAAAGACACTTTGTGTGTTAACTTACATTTCTGTCAAGGGCGTGTCAAGTGTGCTTTCACCACAACATTGACAGTTGATAAAACCATTGAAAATTGCAATGGTCATCTTCATATATCATAATTAGTCTGTCTACCTTATCTATGATAACCGTCGTTATGGTATGTTATGTTGTATTTGTATTTTAAAGAGAATGATTACTACAAGTCATTAAGAAATTAAATATTAATAGAAATATAATTTTTTATTAAAATAAATCAATTTTTTAACTTTAAATTCATAGGACCGACTTTATTATCTGAATGCACTAACAATGAGTGCGTATGGTTTCTACGTTGATTGTCGTATGCCTCCTACTTATTACTGTGTATTTATTTATTTAAAATAACATTTATTCAAAAGAGCTACGCAAGTTTTTTGCTCATTCTTCTTGTAATGAATCTGCATTTCGAATGAGTGGCAGAATAAAAAATATGACTATTCAAAAGTGCTTGTATTGAGTTTATTTGAATAAAGATTATTTCTATTTCTTATAATAAGCTTTTCTTGACAAAGAAAGTGTTTTATACGACATTTGATTTTTTTAGACAGGTTTAGAGCAGAGTCAGGTGGTGTGTTTGAGTGTGAATTGAGTTATAAGTTATAAAATTATAGTTATAAAGCCATTTTATTTTATTTTATTATTTCTACATTTGAGCTCGTTTGACCGCAATCTCACATGAAGTAACGTGATGATGTGGTTTAAGCTGTTACACGCAATTAACTTAAAAGACCCATTGTTGTAAGAGGCAGGAAAAATAGTCGCTGGTATAGAGTCCTACTCCTTAGCTGGTCGCATAAGGAAAGATGACGCAAATCGGTTGGTACGAGCAGCTGGTATATCAACAGTGTATGTGTGGAGCCGCTCTCTACATCTAGTTGTACGGTAGTGGAACGGTGCTGGAGGAATGAGGTTGTGGAGTTGCTGAGCACATTCGCCGAAAAGGAGCCTATAGAATACCGATAGACAAGCCACTTTATGTCGGGGTGGCTAAGACTTTGAAGCTTCTTAGCCACGAGTATTTCATCATTTACAAACTCTTCAAATTTATTGCAATTTTTTTTACAGCAGATTTAGTAGTTTGGTAGTTTGTTGAAAAAATTTTGTTATAAGGTGTAAAATTATAGTTATAAGGTTATTAAATATAGTACAATGAACATAAAATGACCGTCCCGTTTTCCGGCCTGTTTCACAAAGCCATGTCGCTCTAATACCTATTAGAGTTGTTACACTTATCCGTTTAGTACACAGTGGCGTACGAAAATAGGATTACAATATCACGGTAGATGAGTTAATTAAATTTAGTATTGTGCTAGAATTTGACCTCGGTGGTCTAGCGGTTTAACAGGCCGTTTTATTATGGCGGTTGCGGATCGATGGCCGATGCAAACGTTTCATTTTTCATTTCAGGCATTTTCAATCGCCATCTCAAAAAGTTAAATTCAGAATTATTTATTAACATAACATATTTTATCGAGTACATTTGTGTGTTCAACAAAGTGGAGTCAAAATTGTAACTTGAAGGGAATACAATGGATGCAATTCTCAATTTTCTTATTATCAAGCTCCAAAACTAGATCTGGACCTTTTCAGCTCTTATGCACGTTATATTTCTTACCACTATGCCTACCGTACAGTTTCGCTAGCTACTTCAGTTGAGGAGAACTGACGAGAAACTCAAATGATACGTTTTTTTTTCTTTCAGCTAATAATGAGACAAGGCAATGAAACTACAGAATATAGAGGCATAATATCTTAGTCTTCCTGAATGGCAACCTATAAGTGGTATCACGGATGTAACATGATAACGTGATGTCCTTAATACTGTTCATGTATATGGGTGACGGTCACCAGTTGGGGGAAGGGAATTATTAGTAATGTGGATTAATAACCCCATTACTAGCAATGTGACTTGTCTTGTGGTTGACCTCCACCTTGTTCCATCTGGAAACCATCGTGATAAATTCTTGGTGAATTTGTCAGGATGGGCTAACTGATCTAACCTCACGATCATCTTATCATCCTCCACTGGTGCCCCGCCAGCGTAAACCATTAGCGCAGGCGAGTGCATCATTCCATTATCAACCATTAGACGGTTACCAGTTACAAATCAAACCAAATCATTTGTTCATGTTGGACATTTTAGCCGCTTATGACCGTCAAATTTTTGTATTAATATTTTTTGTCTACCGTCCAGTTCAATATACAGATTCAATTGAGAAGAACTGGCTAGAAATTCAACAGAATTTCTTTTTTTTTAATAAAGCCAGTAAGCCAGTCAGTTTATTTACATTATGTACTTTGTAGGTGTCTATGTATAACATTAAGTGAAAATCCCGTGCATGAATTAC